ATTAATTATAATGAAAAAGATTTATAATAATGAAACACTTTTTTTTCAATTTCAGTGTATTTGAGATCATCTACAGTATACGTAGATGTAATCAACAACAACAGTATTGTTCTTTATCAGTATTATAGATTTGAAATATATATAGTTTTATATACATAATGTATATACATTGGAATTCAGTATTAAATAAATTTACCGCAAATTATGTTGACTTGTTCATGTAGAATATATTTTATAACCATATGTTTATAATAGATATTTCTTTTTATCATTCAAGCACTTTATTTAAAGTTAATTGGTTTATAATAGTAGGTCTGTAATACAATAAATGTTATATTGATAGTTTTAAGTATCTGTGATAACAACAAACAACAAAAGAAATATCGACATGATCCGGTATGATATATGCGCCGCGTCATGACAAAACCAACATAATGGGTTTGCAACTAGCATGGATCTAGACCAGCCTGCGCATCCGCGCAGTCTGATCAAGATCCATGCTATTCGGTATCAGTGTCTCTACTTGTTATATGGTTTGTAAGCTAAGAGCATGGATCCTGATCAAACAGCGGATGCGCAGGCTGGTCTGGATCCATGCTGGTCGCATACCCATTATGTTGGTTTTGTCATGACGCGGCTCATATTTCATAGAGCAGATAATAAATTATTCTAGAACAAAATATTATTATCATTATTCGTATCCAAATGTTCATACTAAATCACTTAGCACGTTATCAAACATATCTATTTAGCATTACTAGTATTTTATAAGGAAATCTGAAAGATACATTTCTCCTTTTTAACAATATTTGAAATATTTATTGAAAAAGTGTCAAATGCAGATCAATCCACTTTAAAGTAAAAATGACGTTTTCTGGAGTCAGTTTAAAAAAGCGACTGCACTTTTAATTATTACTAAATTAAAAACAAGAGCTGTAAAGAGGACAGCGTGCTCGACTTTTATCATTGTTTGATAGTAAAACAAGAGACTGGATAATGTAGAAGTTCAAAAAGTGTTATGTTACACTGTATGTATATATGGAGGCAGTCAATGAGTTTTTTGAGGACCAAAAAAGAGAGTTGTTTTTAAGGGTTACAAGTTGGAGCACATGTGGGCAAAGTGCATTGATGTAGAGGGCGATTATATTGAAAAGTAAAACCATTAGTTGGATTCTCTGATTACCGGAAGTACATCGAGCCAAAAACTTTGTGATCAATCCTCGTACACTGTACAATGCAAACATGCTTACACTTGCAATTGTAAATTTATCTTATACAGTGTAACAATACCACGTGACTATGACGTCATTTTCGGCATCATTTCCAAGACAAATATTGCTCGATTCGGAAAAGAAAATAGCCGTAAATATTTCATTTTTGTACCAATTCTTTTGGGATATGCACCAGTCTACGGGGGAAAATATAAGCTTTCAACAGAATATTGGATCTTCGTCAGTTTATAAGCTGTTTTATCAAACACTTTGCATAACCTTGTAAGTTGCTTGTATAAGAGCGGGCTTCAGTTGCAAGCTATGTCGTTTTCTGGCGTTATTTGGTCTACGGCAATATTATTGTAACAAACAAATCGGTTACAACACCTCTTATTTTGTATCAATTTACCTTAATTGCCTTTGTCATAATCACGAGGTGTTAAAAACATGTGTCGCCGACTGTCATTTATTTAGGACATGTCGAGTTCGACCGAAAAGGTGTGATTTTCACTATATATTTACCGAAGGGACCAGAGATCAGGTTCGAGAGTTCGAGCGATCGGTGTTCGAGCGATCCAAGGTAGAACAATATATATTATATAGGAATTTTGCCGGGACTGGGCGATGAGTTCGAGCATAGGGAGGTATTCGAGCGATCCGAGTTCGAACGAACGAAGTTTAACTAATTTTTAGCTCGACTATTCGATAAGAATAAGTAGAGCTATTGTAGTCACCCGAGCGTCGGCGTCCGCGTCGGCGTCGGCGTCGGCGTTACCACTTATGTTAAAGTTTTTTGTAATAGTTTAAATATTTTCAAAATCCATTGACATATGGCTTTGAAACTTTGCACACTTGTTCACCATCATTACCCCAACCTGTAAACAGGAAGAGGTAACTGTATCAAGCATTTTGACAGAATTATGCCCCTTTTTCGACTTAGAATTTCAGTTAAAGTTTTTGTAATAGTTCAAATATTTTCAAAGTCCATTGACATATGGCTTTGAAACTTTGCACACTTGTTCACCATCATTACCCCAACCTGTAAACAGGAGGAGGTAACTGTATCAAGCATTTTAACAGAATTATGCCCCTTTTTCGACTTAGAACTTACGTTAAAGTTTTTGTAATAGTTCAAATATTTTCAAAGTCCATTGACCTATGGCTTTGAAACTTTGCACACTTGTTCACCATCATTACCCCAACCTGTAAACAGGAGGAGGTAACTGTATCAATCATTTTGACAGAATTATGCCCCTTTTTTCGACTTAGAATTTATGTTAAAGTTTTTGTAATACCTCAAATATTTTCAAAGTCCATTGACATATGGCTTTTAAACTTTGCACACTTGTTCATCATCATTACCCCAACCTGCAAACAGGAGGAGATAACTGTATCAAGCATTTTTTTACAATCAAGCACTAAGAATATTCGAGCGTTGCTGTCCTACCGACAGCTCTTGTTTCAGTCTATTTTTGTAAAGAGTTACTGACACACTGGCACTCGTTAACTTGACGAATAGATTCTTCTGTCCTCAAAAGATAATCTTTTAAAAGGTATATATTTTTTTCTGGAAATGTTGTATTATAAATTTCTATAGAGTTTGATAAACGAAATCACAATTTTAAGTACATGATGCACATGTATCGGTATTAAAATCATGAATCTAATTGTCACTCGCATTAACATGACGTTGATATTTTATGTTATTGATCCAGCCAGATTCTGTTCTTTGTGTATATCATTACATATAACTTGGATCTTTGCCGTGTAAACCTGATAGTATTGTTACTTAGTTGCATTACTTATGATTCTCTATTTATCAAAAAGGCCCAAAATAGCCATGACTCGCCAATAAAGAACGAGAATGGACGCCATGTGGAGTAAACAAAGTAAAAAATAATACACAGATAAATGATTTTACAAACCAACTTCCATCGATCACAGTCAAATTTCTTGAAACACAAAACATTCAAAAAGACGGAAATAACAATGATTATCAATAATTATATAAATATTTACATTAACATCTGTATTAGCAACACCGGCAAGATCTATAACTGGGGTCCATATGACATAATGCGTCCATTGAATAATTTATAGCTAACATAAGCTAAGTAAAATTACGATTACATTTGAAGAGTATATTTAATTTTTATCCTTCAACTGTCAAATGACTTACTTCTTTATGTACATATCAGATAATTCACTTATTTGGCAAATGCATTATGTTTATCATGTTTTAGATTTTAATATGTAGTCCTTTTATTAAATCTTAAAATGCTACAAAAACCTGTTCAGGACATCTGCAGGTCATGTCGCGTGCAATAATCCATGCATTTACAGCCAATGACCACATAGATAAGAAATAGTCCCAAATAGCCCTATCGTTTTTATTTAGTTGAAAGAGACATTATTGTTAAGGAATTCTACTCTTTTTAAATGTTTTAAAACCATAAATATTCCATTCCCTTCCTCTCTTTACAATGTGTATTGGTGAGCTCTCTGATAAAGCAGAATTGACTGATATAATTAACTAAATTTGTCAGATATGCAGTTTATCAACAGAAATAAATGCAATAAAAAAATAAATAGTGTTTAGTGCTCTTAAGTGAACGAAGTTATATCCAGTTCACGACAAATGGTTACCGTTGGTATGAAACCAGGATGTAATCATATCTTTTATCAACGAGTGCCACTGTGTTAAAAATCTGAATCTATCATACTAAAACATTGCTACAGGTTCTTTACCAAGTATATATATATGGTTATACGTATAAATAACTCTTTTCAAAAGAATAACATTTGACTTTAAAATTGCCGCGTTGAGGTGTAACCCTTTTCACAGCATACAAATGGAAATGTTCCTGAGTGTGCACGTTCATTGGACAGGCTAGCTAAGTCAAACCGAGCCTGCAGCATTTTCTGTTTTCTCTCTATTTTGAATATTCAACATTTAGTATTGCTACACGACTTTAATAGATTTTTCATAATCATTACCGTGAAAGAACAATGATAAAAGAGCAAATCAATTTCTTTACAAACGCAGACAACAAATTTTACGACTTTTAAAATCACTTATAGCGCAGCGAGTAAAAATCATTTAATTATTCGTGTGTGTGTATGTAAAACGTATAGTAAATAAAATGTTTTTAATGGTTAACATAACTTTAGAAAGAGAGTGGTAGTCATGTTGCATTGCATTTGCAACGGATTCTAAAATCTGCTTTTAACTGTAGTCCTTTTTTTCGACTTGGAACTGGTGCCAGAATTTACAATTGAAGAAAAAGGCAAGACTTACCCCATAAATAATAAACATATAAGCATATTAAGATAGGATTTTGCTGTCTGTACCCCATGTTGATGTAAACCTGACTTTTTAATCATGGCGTAGACCAAATAACGCCAGAAAACGAAATAGCTTGCAACTGAAGCTTGCTCTACTACAAACAACTTACAAGGTTATGCAAAGTGTTTGATAAAACGGTTTATAAACTGACAAAGATCTAATATTCTGTGGAAAGCTTATATTTTTTCCCGTAGACTGGTGCATATCCCAAATAAATTGGTACAGAAATAAAATATTTACGGCTATTTTCTTTTCCGAATCGAGCAACATTAGTCTTGGAAATGATGCCAAAAATGACGTCATAGTCACGTGGTATTGCTACACTGTTATAATTTTCTCATTAAAATAGATACAATAATTTAGATTTATTAATTTGACCACCTGTCATTTTGATACATGGCAGGGCATGGTGACACTTTTAAAGCTTTATTCACACTCCTTTCATTGCAGTCATTGCTTGATAGATTCCGCGGGCAGTCCGACATTTTTGGATGTTGAAAATCGGGAAATTAGGTACCTACTTTTTACTCTTTTTTTTTCGAATGTTTTTTTTTTATTTTAGTTAAATGATCAATGTAAAAAATCCAAATATACATCTTTCAATCGAAAATTTCATTTTATATGGTTCGATACAATGCAATACCCGTTGAAGGCTTATATATTTTTTATTATTTGGGAATTTCAAACATGTGTTGAACGTTGAATTGATGGCAGGTTAGATAAATCTCATTTGAAGATAAAAACGCTCAACGTACATGATGTGTCGTAAAGGTATAGCAATGTAAATAAAGTAGTAGTTTGACTTTCATCCTAATTCACTTTGTATACCAATTGCCAGTAGAGAAATAAGAAAAATATTTTTTTTATTATGCCCCCATTTTAGTGGCGGGCATTTAGATTCACCCTTGCCCGTTTGTCCGCCCTTCCGCCCGTCCTTCCGTCCGTCCGTTCCCTTTTGTGTCGCCCGTAACTCAAAAAGTATTTGACCTAGAGTCATGAAACTTTACAGGAATGTTGATCAGCATGTGTAGTTGTGCACCTGGGTATATATTTTTGTCTGGATTAATTAAGTATTTTTAGAGTTATTGCCCTTGACTTAGTAAAATTTTGCAATTTTCAACTTGTGTCGCATGTAACTCAAAAAGTATTTGACCTAGAGTCATGAAATTTTTCAGGAATATTGATCAGCATGTGTAGGTGGGCACCTGGGTATATTTGTCTGGATATTTTTAGTTTTTTTAGAGTTATTGCCCTTGACTTAGTAAAATTTTGCAATTTTCAACTTGTGTCGCATGTAACTCAAAAGGTATTTGACCTAGAGTCATGAAACTTTACAGGAATGTTGATCAGCATGTGTAGTTGTGCACCTGGGTATATATTTTTGTCTGGATTTATTAATTATTTTTAGAGTTATTGCCCTTGACTTAGTAAAATTTTGCAATTTTCAACTTGTGTCGCATGTAACTCAAAAAGTATTTGACCTAGAGTCATGAAACTTTTCAGGAATGTTGATCAGCATGTGCAGTTGTACACCAGGTATTTTCGTCTGGTTTTAGAATCATTGCCCTAGACTTAGAAATTGTTTGCAATATTCATCTTTTGTCGCATGTAACTCAAAAAGAATTTGACACATTTATTAAACCTTACGGGAAGGTTGCTCAGAATATGTAGTTTTGCACCTGGGGTTTCGCTTGTGGATTTATCCAGTATATGTAGAATTATTTCCCTTGACTTAGTAAAATCCGTTTTATTATGTTGTTATTCGTTTCTTGAGTGATTGAGTTTGAATCAACCAACTTTACAGGAATAATGATCAACATCACTAAATTACAGGAAAATGATTCACATCACTGTGAAGCTATGTACCTGGGACTTTGCATGTGGATTTTTTTCAGTTTTGTTAGAGTTATTGCCCTTGACTTACAGTAGTATGAATTTGAAATTTTCAACTTGTTCATGCATAGCTCAAATAGTATTTCACTTGTAGGCCTGAAAATTTACAAGAATGTTGGTCAGCATGTGTATTTGTGCACCTTGGGTTTGCTTGTGTATTTATTCAGTATTTGTAAAGTTCTTGCCCTTTACTTAGTAAAAGATTTTTAGTTTTGAAGAACTGTTTGACCCAGAGTCATAAGATTGACAGAACAGTGGCGCAGTGGGGGCACCCGTGTCCTATGGACACATTTTTAGTTTATTTATTTTTTTTTGGGGGGGGGGTAGGGGGAGGGGTCTGTTGTTGTTTAATTATTATTATTATTATTATTATTATTATTATTATTATCATTATCATTATCATTATTATTATTATTATTATGAGGGAGTTGATGGGTATTTTTATGTTGTTTTTGGGCGGGAGCGTAGTTGTTGTTGTTGTTGTTGTATCTGTATGTGTTTTTCTTTATAATTTGTCACAACATACCAAATGGATTTTGGATGTCTATTTTTATATTATTTCAGCGTGATATTGAATTCAAATAAAAGTGTGGTTTTTTTCACATTTTTATATACTCGTATTTATTTGTTTTATTTTTTTTTATATAGTTTTATCCTTTCTCTCCCTTTTCTTTATTATCTGTTTAGTTTGCTTTGTAACTATTGTTGTTAAATCTTATGCTCCTGCACATTCAGTCTTAGTTTTGAAAATGAGAAAATCCTGAAAAAAATCTTTATTTTCAGCCAGTGACTAGCCATGCAGTTTTCAAAACTAGTGGGAATTAATGCTGTTTTATTATTATGGCTTGTTTATGTCGACTGTCAAAGGGAAATTACTTACAGGGTACCTGTTTATGTTGAGAATGCACGGGATGGGAGAATCCGAACATGTATGTAACATCTTTCATGAAAATAACGTGCACGTAACTAGTTTCATGTAAATCATATGTATGTTATTACTTTCTTTTAAATCACGTGTACATAGTTACTGTCGTGTAAATCACGTGTACACAGTTTCTATCGTGTAAATCACTTTTGAGTTACTACTTTTTTGGTAAACTGCGTTATGGAACTGTGTTTTGGTAGTACTTTATTTCATAGCAAAGTAAGGAATTTTTGCAGAAGAAAAAACATCGTGTGTGTCTCAATGACAAAATTAAACACATATGCATTTACCAACTTTTTAAATGCAAAACAAAAGGAATACTTCAGTTTATAAAAAGATGGATACAAAATGATCGTAGATTTTAATGTATTTTTAATCCCAGGAAATCTTCACTTTTCAGATGTTTATGGCATTTTATTTGCCGTCATTGCTGGTAATGCAATTTTAGGGAGACGTTCTACCGGGCAACCTTTCAACGTCGTGCATGGTGGTGGTGGGGATGACAATGGTGCTCCTGTACCGACACCATAGTGAGGTAAATCAGAGATTGGTTTGTTTAAGCAAATTTATATTAACAGCTTTACTTAACTGATTTTGATTTTTAAACTAGCTGTCAAACTTTCTCAAGACCAGCAAATCTAATAAATAGAGGACAATCATGTAATCATTCTACACAAAATAAGTATAAGTCTTCATAATGTAAGAATATTGCAGATCTGTTACATGTCATATAAATGGTTTTTAAATATTTACATAAATATATCATTCTTAAAGACGTCTAACTCTTGAAACAAAATCATTCCGCAGTGAAAAAGTAATCCTTTGCCCGATATTTTTGACGCCACGACATGATGACTCATTTTTCACGCCTTATCTACCTAGATATAAGTTTGGCAGTTTACTAATTTTGGCATCATTGTCAGCAATACAATTCTCGTAATTTAAAGGTTACTCAATGTAAGAAGGAAATATTGCATTCTATCCAATTACGCGACTTAATTAAATGGCATAAATGTCTGAAAATTATAGCTTTCATAGAATTAAAAAAAGAACGGAAAAAATCATTTGTCCCCATGTTTTATTCATTCATAAGATATTATCCAAAGCACAACACTTAAATCTGATCTATTGACAATGTAAATTCTGGCAAATACTGGTATTGGCAACATGCAATTTCTGGCAAATGCTAGTTTTGGCAACAGACAAATTTTGGCACCGTCTTCTCGCATTTTATTCTGTCTTTCTCAGATTAAGTGGATTTTTTTTTGTTTAATTTTCGTTTTTTTGACGATTTTAAATAGACGGAAGTGTAACATAAATTGAGTTGAAAT